TTCCGTGCCACCTCCTTGGTTGTCCTGTGACCCTGTTCCATCTCTGGCGATTTGTAACAGGAACATAGAACCACCGAGGAGATGGCACGAAACTCTGTGCCACCTCCTCGGTTGTCCTATGATCCTGTTCCATCTCTGGCGATTTGTAACAGGAACAAAGAACAACCGAAGAGGTGGGACGGAATTCTCCCGGGCAAAAATTTTAGGAGTTGAAATTTCCGATTTCTAACAGGATCATAGGACAACCGAGGAGGTGGCACCTTAGATCTACGAGTGGTTTTCAAGGATCAGGAATAGGCGATTAGAGGGTTTGCTAGACACGCTCGTCTAATTAAACGTACTCACCGTTATCGTTCAATAAGTTGCTTTATTACATTAATTATTTTACAGTTTATTATACATCAGGTACCGCAAGTACATCAGTTCATTACCACCCCCAGGCTGCGCCATGTACACGAGGAAGCCACTCATGACCGGCAGGGTACATGGCGCGAAGATGGACGCATTTCTGTCCGATTTACCGCGTTCGTTAGAATATAAATTCTCGTCGTGTCTCGGTGCAGTAGTGCAGCGATGCATTAAATGCATTAAATGCGGTAAATGCGGCAAATGCAGTAAATGTAGTAAATGTGGCGCAGCTTTGAGCCGTTTCACGATCCTCTCTCGTATCAACAGCGGAGCGTCGCGTTTCCGACACCGGAACCGGAAACAGGGACTCGTACAAGGACTCCTCCAGGATGGGCAGGCTGAGCAGTGCCAGCATCAGCGGCTCTCAACCTCTGACGAGGCTCGCCAGGTTGCTGAACCAGAGGCCCAGCTTCACGCCGAGCGACGAAATCCCTCACCGGTTCTCGTGGGAAAAGTACGTATTTCATATATTTCGTATATTCACTTTCTTTAATATATGAAAGGGTCATTCTGTGTATGTAAAAGGTCAAAACGAGTATTATAAAAGGGGTCATTCTATGTATATGTATATAAAACGTCAAAATGAGCGATGAAATCCCTCATCGGTTCTCGTGGGAAAAGTACGTATTTCATATGTTTCGTATATTCACTTTCTTTAATATATGAAAGGGTCATTCTGTGTATGTAAAAGGTCAAAACGAGTATTATAAAAGGGGTCATTCTATGTATATGTATATAAAACGTCAAAATGAGCGATGAAATCCCTCATCGGTTCTCGTGGGAAAAGTACGTATTTCATATTTTCGTATATTCACTTTCTTTTAAGATGTGAAAGGGTTATTCTGGGTATATAGAATGTCAAAACGAATAATATAAAAGAGTTATTTTATGTACATTAAATGTCAAGACGAGTAATATTAAACGGTCATTCTATGTATATAAAACCTCAGAAGGAGCGATGAAATCTCTCAACGGTTCTCGTGGGAAAAGTATGTATTTCATATTTTCGTATATTCACTTTCTTTAAGATATGAAAGGGTCATTCTATGTATATAAAACGTCAAAATGAAAAAAGGGAGGAAAAACGCGCGATGAAAATGAAAAGCGAAATAAAAATCGAAAAATATATGACTCGTCCCGGCGCGTTTTTAAAAACTGTGTGACGTTTTGTATGAAAAAAAAAAATAAACGAAGATAAAAATCTCAGCGTCGATTCTCGTTAGAAAAAAGTACCGCAGGTCCTCGCATTGGTGGAAAAAAAAAGAGAGAGGAAAAACGCGCAATAAAAATCGGGAAATTTACGATTCGACCCTCGCGTTCTCGTCCCGGCGCGATTTTAAAAACTGTGACGTATTGTATTTAAAAAAAAAAAGAAACGAAGATAAAAATCTCAGCGTCGATTCACGTTAAAAAAAAAAGTACCGAAAGTCCTCGTATTGTAAAAAAAAAAAAAGAAAAACGCGCAATAAAAATCGGGAAATTTACGATTCGACCCTCGCGTTCTCGTCCCGGCGCGATTTTAAAAATTGTGACGTATTGTATTAAAAAAAAAAAAAGAAACGAAGATAATAATCTCAGCGTCGATTCACGTTAGAAAAAAAGTACCGCAGGTCCCCGCATTGTAAAAAAAGAAAAGAGAGAGAGAGGAAAAACGCGCAATAAAAATGGGGAAATTTATGATTCGACCCATGTCATCAGGTGCGGAACATGTTGCTCGCGTAGAGCACAACGGAAGTGTCTCGTAAAACGGCATGTCGGGGTTGCAACGACGAGTAGGTTTGCTCCTTTAGCGGTTCCCCCATTCGCCCCTCGGTTTATTAATTTCACATGGGGACGTCGTAATGCCATTAAAATCCATAAGCTAACCCGGATTGCTCGTATAAGCTCGGCCGCGGTTTCGTTACGAGCTTTATACGCCCCTGAGATGGTTTTCCAGTTTAACGGCGAGCTTTCGACGCAATTCGCCGCTTATGCAGTCGAACTTGCAGCGAATGCAGTCGAAGTCGTGGCTCTGCCTCTATCGACATTGCAAATGGATGTTTTTTCGTTATTTCGGGCGTAAACAAACATTTCGCTCCGATTTTTCAAATGGTAATCTGGAAGTGTCTCAATTTATCGATCGATTAATATTAAATACCACTTTTCAAATATATACAAGGATTAATTTAATCGCGGGTTAAAAAAAAATTGTTTAAACGGAGCGACTTTTGTCTATATGTTTATGCGCAAGTGAGCTGGTTTTTACGTTGCACTCGTTTCAGGGCGTTTCGAAAATAAAATGATTTTATCGGATCCGATCTGCTTCTGACATCGGACGACCCTTCGGGCATCCATGTAAAAATATTCTGTAAATATATGTGGAGAGCCATCGGCTTATGTAAATATAAATGAAACGCAGGAGTCGCTTCTGCAGGGGCAATTCGAATTTTACGCCGGCGTACACTTTTCCCGTGTTTATAAAAATATAAGCAATGCATTCGCGTGGCGCCTGACGTCGAAAGGCATAAAAAGTGAAGAGCTAAGAAATAAAAAAAATGTCTCGCGTCAGCTACGCGCTTTAGTAGGGCATAAACAATGTGCAGAACATTCGTTAAATCCTTCATCTCCCGCGCACATAAACTAAGTGTAACATTTATTACCCGCAAAATTCGAAGTTTACGTTACCACTTGTTTCCTTTGTCGGTATTTATGAAAATTAAATCAATTATCCGGAGCATTCAAATTTTACATCATAATCCTTTTTTCTTATATTCATAAAACTAATATTCGAATATACCCACATGGCGCCAGGTGTCACGTGACCCGCCATACAGTAACGTATGAATGTAAACAGCAATTTCAGCATGCAGATATGTAATAATGTTGACATAAAACTCATAAATAGCAACATCTGCACCGTCTAGATGTGCTTCAGAACTCTTTCTCCTAGTATTCACGGAAATAAGACCTCTAGTATTCATGAAACTAATATTTGAATATATCCACATGGCGCCAGGTGTCAGGTGACCCGCCATACACCATTGTACACATCTTGCATCACCAAGGCGGTGAATCTTTAAGCTAATATGCATGTAAATTGGGTTGCCAGTGCAGGCATATCGATCTGCCGGCTCGTCGAGTTCTATTTGGGTGCAAGGACGATAAACTACGTCGTAAAAATTACGCCGTCCGTCGAGGAAGTGCAGCGACATTAATTATTAATTATTCCTGATCGTTCATTTCTCACCCTTCGTACTTTCTGAAAGGAACTCGCCAGGGCGTATTCCCTTCACCCAGAAATTAACATTAGCGATTAAATTGCAAGACCTTAGTTAGGACCTCCATAATCTTGTATCAAAGTTTGTAATAATTCGGTGCACCCAGGTGTGAGAAAAGTTTCATCAATATTTTCACGTTTCGATATGTATAGAGTGATCCTTTCGTAACGCCTTAACCCCTTTGAACGAGGAGCCATTTTGACATACGGGCGAAATTCGTCTGACCGTGCAGGCAATATTCGACCAAACGTCTCTTAGGAGCCAAAGGGTTAATGTGGTCGATTCGCTGCCTTTCGTTTACCGAGGTGAAAACGATTTTCCCTGCGCCTGACAGAATGCAACCCGTCATGCACCGATGTACGAATGCATCGAATCGAATTAGAGAGCTCGGTTTGTATATGTAAATCAGGTTGCCAACGGCCGGGCAGGTATCGATCTAATAATCGATTTATCGACAAACCCCAGGAGTATTAATATCTCCGGCTTCTCCAATCTCTCCTTCTTTCCTCGTTAAATCGACGTAGGAAGAAAGAGCGAAGAATTATGGGCCGAGAAATTGGCAATTTACGATTCCATCATTTTTAACAATTCTGTCATTTCATATCGCGTCTCGGTTGCAAAATAATTATTCGTTCGATAATCATCGTTATCGATCTCCCTCCTATCTTAAGGTGAAGTGGAAGCCCCTCAAATTCAGTCGAATCGATCGATACCCGCTGATTACGAATATGATAATGAAAAATGGCGCAAGGTGAAAATGTTAACAATTCTTGCAAAGTTTCGCATTATATCGATTAGGAAAGGTTCGAGAGAAAAAAGTTTCAGATAAAAGTTGTAGCCCTCGAAATAATACATTTCTTATGTTCTATACATTTTTTTCCAAAACCGTTACATTTTGAAAAAAAAGTGAGATATATTCCTCAACTATAAAAGTATGATTAACTGCGGGAGATCTTTACCTTACTTTATTACTATAAAAGAACGGTATCACCATTTATGTTGAAAAATAAATTCTCCACCTTTCGTAACGATTCCTATATTTGTTTAAGACGAGAGAACGGTTCAGACTTAAATTACCATTGAAATTAATTAATTTCCACCATTTTCCCGTCCTTAATCATTATTAAAAAAAAACAGTGTCTATCACTTTGTTGAAAAATAAAGACTAATAATACTTAGGTAACGTTTTCGACATTTGTTTAAGACGGAACAGCGGATCAGATTTAAATTACCATTGAAATTAATTAATTTCCACCATTTTCCCGTCCTTAATCATTATTAAAAAAAAAACAGTGTCTATCACTTTGTTGAAAAATAAAGACTAATAATACTTACGTGACGTTTTCGACATTTGTTTAAGGCGAGACAGTGGGTCAGGGTCGTGTCTGCCCCGAAGCAGCTCGATCGACAGCTTCGCGGAGTGGGGCCTGATCGGGGGCGTGGGGGGCCTGGGCACGGGGGGGGCCATCAACCCTGGGAGCAGCTACACCCTCTCGACGGGCCCCTCGCCCCCCCGGCGCAGCCCCAGCCCCGTCCCGGGGGCGAGGGGCGATCGCCTCAGCCTCGTCTCCCCCAGCATCGGCCGCAGGGTCAAAGTCCACCGGGCGGTGGTAGGTGAGTGGATCTTCTTTACCGACAGTTGCAGTTTCTCGGTTTCCTCGAGTGTCGCCCTGGCGATGAGGAAAAAGAAATTCATTGCTTTCGTCAAATGGATAAAAGTCGGGCAAAGGCATGTTTACGGGTGAAAGCACGTGCTGCACATCGAATTATCTAAATTATGATGTTACATGATATTTTTTGTAGAATCTTTGAGTTTCATTCCGCCTTAAAAATTAGACGATGAGGGAAAAGAAATTCATTGTTTCCATCAAATGGTTAAAAGTCGGGCAAAAGCATGTTTACGGGTGAAAGCACGTGCTGCACAGCGAATCATCTAAATTATGATGTTACATGATATTTTTTTTTAGAATCTTCGAGTTTCATTCCGCCTTAAAAATTTTCAAAAGTCAGACAAAAAGATGTTGACGGGTGAAAGCACGTGCAGCACGTTAAATCATTCGAATTACGATGTTACATGACTTTTTTTCGAATCTTCGACTTTCGTCTCACCTTAAAAATGGTCAAATGACAAACAAAACGTGTACAGAACATGTATCATCCGAATTACGATTTTACATGATTTTTTCGAGAATCGTAGATTTTCGTTTCACCTTAAAAATTGTCAAATGACAAGCAAAACATGTGCAGTACATAAAATCATTCAAATTACGATGTTACATAATTTTATGTAGAATCTTCGACTCTCGTATCACCTTAAAAATTGTCAAAAGTCATGTAAAAAAATATTTACCGGTGAAAGTATGTGCAGCACATAAAATCATTCAAATTACGATGTTACATGATTTTATGTACAATCTTCGAGTTTCATTCCGCCTTAAAAATTGTAAAATGACAAACTAAACGTGTACGGCACATCGAGTCATCCCAATTACGATGTTACATGAATTTTCTTTTTTGTAGAATACCAGAAAAGCGATGACGCATTTCATGTCACTTTAGTGCATTTTCATGTTCGACGATGATTTCTCTCGTTTACCGGATGACGCGTCGACCCGCTTTCGGACACGGTCGGTAATGGCGATCCCTGTTAAATTTCCGTTGGCGAGTACCAGGGATTAGTACACGGACAATTAGTATGCAAAGCCCGTAACCTGTCTACGACCGTGCACGATCGTACTTCGGTACGTTGTATTCCTGCTCGGTACATCCATAAACCCCATGGAATATTCCGACACGCCCTCCATTCTCAAGGAATTCGAATTAACGGCTTGTTTGTAATTTAGAGCCGATTAACAGGGAAATCAACGTATAAGAATTGTTAACTTAATGTTTAAAACACGTGCCGATGATGAAACTCGCCTATTATTATTTCTTTGCGACACTAACTTCGCGTTATTACAATTTAAATTGATATAGCACAAAATAAGGGATAAACTTATTTTCTTCTGTTTTTTTTTTTATTTAGACTGCTTGAAAAATTACCAGCATATATAAGAATTTAATATCGAAGGCCATGTACTTTTTAAGCGTTCTTTCTACAAATTTTCAGTGAAAATCGTTTGCAAGAAGAAAAATTAAACAAGAAATTTTCAAGGCGTTAATTTTTCTCTCCCACTTGGAAGGACAATTTGTCCACCCTTATCTCGACAAGCCTCGCAGGGTAGATAAAGGACGAAGATGCAAATCTATCCCTGTAAACCGGAATTCGCGTTTCCTGAAATTTATCGGATAGATCGAGACAGGACTCGGGGGAGCGTTTTATCACATCTACGAAAAGGTTCGATAACAATGTCAAGCCCGCCGAATGAAAATAATTTACCGTAAGAATATTTAACTCTTTGAGCACGGAGCCATTTCGACATACGGGCGAAATTCGTCTGACCGAGCAGGCGATATTGGACCAAAAGGGTTAAAAAATTGTCTGACACTTATCGTAGAAATCGACACAGGACTCGGGGGAGAGTTTTATCACATCTATGAAAGGGGTCGATAACAATGTCAAGCCCGCCGAATGAAAATAATTTACCGTAAGAATATTTAACTCTTTGAGCACGGAGCCATTTCGACATACGGGCGAAATTCGTCTGACCGTGCAGGCAATATTGGACCAAACGTCTCTTAGAGGCCAGAGGGTTAAACAATTTTCTTAAACTTATCGGAGAGATCGCGAAAGGACTCGGGCAAGCGTTTTATCTATGAAAGGGTTCGATAACAATGTCAAGCCCACCGAATAAAAATAATTTACCGTAAGTATATTTAAAAAGTGTAAAAAGCGAGGTAAAAATTCCACATCCTGAATTTTTTCCGCCCACTCGAAAGGACAGAATTTCTCATTAAAGAATGAAGATGCAAATCTGTCCCTGCAAACCCGAATTCGCGTATCCCGTGACTTATCGGAGCGATTTGGACAGGGCTCGGGGGACGTTTTATCAGGGCGATAAAAGGGTCCGATAACGACGTTACGCGTCGAGCTCGCGCCATCCCCGGGCGGGAATCGAATGACGGATTAATTAATAATTTCGATCTAACGCGGCCCTTCGGGCGTTAGTTAGTCCCGGATCATTCGGCTATCCTCCAGGATCCGGGAATTATCCGCTTTAAGCTGCCTCCTGGACGCCAGTCGGAAGTTAGGTCCATTAAGCCTCCGGGACGACTTCGACCTCCTTCAGCCGGGAATTTCCAGGGAAAACATCGTTCGTCTCGATTGTTTACCTCCAATTCTGCCGAGGTGTGGTCGTTTCGTCGGTAGACACTTATCGAAGTTATCGACGATTTTTCGACCATTTTTTTAGATTAATCCTTTGAGGCACGGAATTTTAAAAAAATAAAAAAGCCCGTTTTTCGCACAAATTTTACTTAATTTTAAATTCAACAAAGTTGGTTTATTTTTATTAATAAAGGAATAACATGATATAAAAATATTTAAAAAATAATAATTCAATTAAGTTTGTTGTCGTAGGGTGCATATTCACGCAGTAAAAAAGTAGGACATTTTTAATACCACCGTGACTCAAAGAATTAAAGGGAACAACGTACGTATGTGTATATTTGGCGCGAAGCTCCACCGAGTTTTCTGATATGGAAATGGCATCAACTTGGTGCACTTACTCGTTTTAAACTTTTCAACTTAAGTATGGAGGCTATAAGGAAGGTCCTGATACTCGTGAAATTTCATATTTAATAAGAGAAAATGTAAATATCTGTAAAGAAGTTTTTAAACGGTGAAATCTCACGGTGTCAAGAACTTCCTTACAGCCGCCATATTCACGTTGTAAAGTTTGCGACGATTCGGTGCGCCCAGTTTGAAGATAAGTTTTGTAAACACTTTGACTATTCATGTGAATAGGATGACCTTTTCATAACAGCGTAATAAAATATTCTTGTAAACGTACCTTTTCACCGGTCTCGATCCTTCCTCTTGGAGGGGGAGGGCAGGAGTAAGCGGGACCGGCCAGTCTCTCGGAGCGTCTCTCGGAGTCTCCGCTACGCCGCCCGAGCGCGCCCGAGCGCGGCCGACTTCGGCCGAGCTCTCCCGATCTCCCCCGAGCGGCCCGGCGATCGCCGATCGCGTCTCGCCGCCGCCATCGATCTCGGATGATCGGCAGTTCCGCGTGCGTGCTTCCGATGGTCGGATCGAGTCGAGGACGAGTCTCTTCCGGCTTCCGTGGTGCATTCCGTCGATATCGAGATCCGGATAGAGAGATAGAAACGGGTCTCATGGAAACGCCTAGAAAGCGACAACGATACCCGGCGGCCATTTTCCGCGCGACTTTCCGAAGTGGACCGATCGACTAATGGATTCGGAATTTTCCCGACACTTTCGAGAGAATAAAATCATTGGACGCGCCAGGGGATCGAGTGTAATAATTAACATATAATTAAAACACACGAGTGAAATAATTAATATCACGTTAAGTTCAGTGCCGAAGAAGTATTATGCAAGAAAATACCTTGAAACGTGGATGCAAATGTGAAAGGTCTAACCTGTACTATGTAAATTTGAGGTTATGTCAGGAAGGCATGCCTTTTACATAAATGTGTACATATACGTTAATGGAAAAAAGATAAGCAACGAGTTTCCAGGAGTAAGAAGAGAATTTCTCGAGAAAAGCGTACTATTTTGAAATGCCCGCCGCGACGGTTGGACGCGGTCACGTGACGCGAAATTCGGAGAAACTATGACGCCGGGCGCATGCGCGGGCGCAGGGGGAACGCACGTGCGCGCATGCGCGGTTGCCAAAGGAGTGCGCGAGTGAAAGCTAGAGCGAGTGCGACGGAAGATGGATCGAGGCACGACCGAGGAACTGGATTACGTAGAGGGGAATCCCCAGTGACGTGAGTACACTCATCGATGCGTAATCCCGATTCGTTAACGATGTGATAAATCATAATGACGAATGGATTAGAATAATTATACAAGAGGCAAAGGTTACTTGATCGTTTCACTTGAAACTCCGGAAAAACGTTCGCACGTTTCCTTAAGGCTGGGAACTGTACATCGGTGCGGTACAGTGGAGGGCATAAATATCATTTCCGCGGACGTGCCTCCCCTTAATCATGAAAGTGGTCCAAGTAAAAGATGTAAACAATTATTTCGTCCCACATTTTGTATCGCAGGCATTTAAATTACAATCACGTGTAGGTTCTTTCTTCAACACAAAAAGACAATTAGGCCACTTTCATAATTACGAACACATATAGGGGTGAAAGGGTTAATAAACAATCACCCCCACCATGTGGGTTGATGATGCGAGTTCCCAAACTGTACATGCCGGAGAGGAGACGCGGTGGTGGGGGAAGCGTCGGCGGCAGGGAGGGGGCGGGGGTCGCCTAGCAACGCGAGTTGCCGACCGATCGCACGCGCGGCGCTCGCGCAGGCCGGGAACCGGTCCTCCACTCGTCGGTTTTTAAGGGAACCCGTCCGCCGACACGGAATCCGCCCGAATCCCGGCCCAGGGACGCGCATCGGGCCTCGCTCTCTTCGCGCCTCCTTTCGTTATTCCTTTAGGAATCGATCCTTCCTAATATTTATCGCCCACGGAGCCGTTGTTACCATTATTTTTCGATATTTTCGAACTGAGGGCGCGGGCCGTGTCCCGAACGTTTCACCTCCTTCCTTCGCCCCGGGCGACGGGCGAAATTCTGAAATGAGCCGCGACGCCGAGACGCGAGTTAAATGGGAGACTCGCTAGACGTGGGTTCATCCGATAAGCTTATCTCGAACGGGGTGTACAACCTCGACTTTATCATTATGTCCTGGAGCTTGCTTTATTGCATCCTTGATACGACGGGAGACGGCGCTCGGAATTCGGACGGACGGCACTTTCATTTTATTCATTTTCCTTCATTTTACAAGACGTGTAATAACGACGTCAATTAAAAAATGGCAAGAATTAAGTTAATTCTCAAATTACACATTTCTTTTATCCCTTTCCAAGTTGCGAAATAACGACATCGATATGAAATTGCGAGACTTCAGTCCCTTCCCGAATTATGAACATTTTTATCCCTCCCCAAGTTGCAAAATAACGATATCGATAAAAAAAAAATGACGAGAATTAAGTTAATTTCCGAATTACACATTTCTTGTATCCCTTTCCACATTGCGAAATAACGACATCTATATGAAATTGCGAGAATTCAATCCATTCCCGAATTATGAAAATTTTGTTATCCCTTCCCATGTTGCAAATTAACGATATCGATTAAAAAAATGACGAGAATTAAATTAATTTCCGAATTACACATTTCTTTTATCCCCTTCCAAGTTGCGAAATAACGACATCGATATGAAATTGCGAGAATTCAGTCCCTTCCCGAATTATGAACTTTCCATCCCTTCCCCAGTTGCAAAATAACGACATCAATATGAAATTGCGAGAATTCAGTACGTTCCCGAATTATGAAGTTTTTTATCCTCTTCCAAGATGGCGGACACAATGGGGAGGATTCAGGAAGGGGATGAGAACGCGGTTCCGTTTAGAGGGTACTTTGTACAAGTTTTGTCAATCGACCGGAAGTTCTCTCTGAATTCGAGAGCCCCCGTGCCTTCCCTCCGATCGTATTACGAATTACCATATCTTAGCTGCAGCATCTTGCAGACGGTAAAGAGACAATTTCTCCTGTACACTGGGGGACATAAATGCATTCCCTTCGTACTTGGAAAATTTACCATTTTTTATGGACCGTACCCGCTTTTTCTTTCCCTTCGTAAAGAAATTCCTCCATGTTTATATAAATTTAGAAATTCAGATAATGTTTAATTGTAATAATTTGAGACTATACGCGTATACAGGGCGAGTCTTACAAAAAGTCGAAAATTGGTTATTCGTAAAAGTACAAAGTCTATATTTATTCGGGTCATGTTTATCGAGATTATAACCATGATTATGGATTATGGACCTTTCGTATTCTGCCCTGCAACTGTATATACAACACCCTGTATATATGAATATATATATATGTACACCTACTTCCGGTGCTCCCTGGGAAGGAAAAGAAAAGAGGGCGGCACCTGTGTGACAACTAGGGATCATATACGGTGTCTACGTCATATACAGGGTGATCAGAAATTACGAATTGCTACGAATAATCTTGAAAAAATGTATGTAAAAATTGCAATCCAATTTTGGTGATAACGAGCGATGTATAAAGGTGAAAATTAGGAAGTGAGACAGGAATTTTCGGAAAGGTCGACAGGTGTTTCCGTGGCACCCTGTAGGTTCACCAGAAGGGAACAGGTGTCCTCCCTTACCTGGTTACCATGTCCTTTCTGTGGGGAGGAAACTACCGGGTGATCCTAATTGAAAAGAAATAATTAGAATATCGATCCGCCGATTCGAAGAAATTAATTAATTGTTTTTCGGCGGGAGGAATTTAATTTAATTAAATTTGTTATCGGGAAGGTTCACGTGTTTTTGGAATATTATAGATTGTTATTTAACTGCCCTGAATTTCAGGAAATTTGGGCCTAGAGGAAATATATATTCGCTGTAATCTTTTTTTTTAATCCGTCCAATTATTTTAGTTTTCGATTATGGGGAGAGATGAAAATCCAAGAAAAATTTATTATATTCGATAACTCGTTGTTTGTTAAATTTCGCAATTTTCCTGTTTGAATCTATACATTGAACGTAATATACGTAAGGCCCAGAAAATTCGGGCCTGAATTTGTCGAAATTTCGCTGCAATATGAAATTTGTTAATTTAGAAAGAAAATAATATACACATTTAACACTTTTTTTGTTTTATAACTATCTTCGATTCGCATCCTCCCCATGTATATATTATACTTAAGGCCCAACAAATTCAAGCCTGAATTTGTCGAAATTTCGCTGCAACATGAAATTTGTTAATTTAGAAAGAAAATAATATACACATTTAACACTTTTTTTAAACACATTTTTTGTTTTATATCTTCGATTCGCTTCCTCCCCCTGTGTATATTATACTTAAGGCCCAGAAAATACGGGCCTGAATTTAACGAAATTTGAACTCACCTGCCGCTATGCGGCCGTTCCGCTCCGGTGTGCTCGGCAAGGTGTACAGCTGTTGCGGACCTTCTTTTCAGTCTGCGTCCGTACGCCCCGGAGGAAGGACCTCGCGAACTGGGACCGGGCCCATAACGTATTTAATCCTAATTCCATTACTGTAATTAATCATTTTCAATTTTAACCTCGACTTAAACCCTGGCCCGAAAGACTAGTTTAACTGATAACTCTGAACGTGCAAGCAGAAAAATCAAGATCGTTTTCTACGATAACGTAAAAAGTTATTCTCTTAATATTTCAACAGTATTATGCGTTAAGCCTGTAAAAGTCATTAAATTAAATTATTACTGTAATTTGGATACGGGAATGAAAGTACCTTTGCAGGTGAATTTTAATTGTCAATTTAACGTGCAACGAGTGACTCCTCATAAATAAATAAAAGTTAACGCGATGGTTTGTAATAATTAACTGACCGTGAAGTAACTCGTTGAATTTCTCGTCGAAAAAGTTCGTTTAATAAACGAGGTAGTGAATTTAATTCCCAATCGCGATAAACAATTCATTCGTAAGATTATAAACAATCCGGAAAATCACTAGGAACTCAGGTGAAAAGATTCAATTAGTTTCTGCAATTTAATTAACTCTAAAAAATTATGAGAAATGCTTTCGTGAGTAAAAAGTAATCGCAGAAGTTCAAATTGGGCGCCGCAGGAAAATGGCGGCAGAATTCAAAAACGGAAGGTGTGCGGCCGCGAGCTGATTCAGGTATTATTTATAATTAATCTCGAGATAAGGCGAAAAAATTATCACGGATTTACAATCGATCACCGTCTTTTTCCCCGACCGTTGGCGTTCCAACCCTTTTTAACGGATTTTGCGGTTTTTTCGCGCTCGAGCGACGCCATTTCCAAGATGGCGGCGCGGTACGTCGTTTGCGCGTTCAGATTCTTTCCCTATATTGAAAT